ACCACCATTACCTACATCCATCAGAGCTGTTTCCAGAATGTCATCGATGGCAAAGTTGAAGACAGATGGTGAGATTGGGCAACCCTGCCTAACTCCACTGCTCGAATGGAACAACGGAGAGAGGTGGTTGTATACCCTCACTCTGCCTGAGGTGATTGTGTATAGGGCTTTTAGGATGTTAATAAACTTCTCAGGCACACCCTTCTTCAATAGATAATCCCAGAGAACAGTTCTGTCCAACGAATCGAAGGCAGCCCTGATGTCAAGAAACACCACGATTGTTGGCCTTTGATAAGTATGACGGTGTTCTAAGATTTGGTGGAGGGTGAAGATATGATCAATACATCCTCGACCAGAACGGAACCCAGCCTGCTTTTCGCGAGTCAATTTTTCTCTAGTTTCGAACAGAAGCCAATAGCTTGGACGCAATCGGTAGTAGACTTATCCCTCGATAGTTGTTACAGGAACGATGTGAACCCTTTTTAAAGATAGGGACAACTATCGACTCATTCCATGACGTTGGTACACTCTCTAGTTCCCAGACCTTTGTAAACAACGTCGTCAAGTCCTTAGTCAAAAAGTCACCACCATCTTTAAAAAGAGCTGGAAGTAAGTCATCTGGGTCAGGTGATTTGTAGTGCTTCAAGAGTTGAAGTTCCTCGCGAACTTCCGCCCCATTTGGTGGATCAGTTGTCACCGGCCATGGAGGGCAGGACAGTCTGACCGATGTTGCCGGAGTAGCAGGCCAGTTGAACCGCCCTTTGAAAAATTGTCATACCTTCACTATTTCACCGAAGGTGACTCAATTTCAATATGCCTGAACATTGTATGCTTTGCTTCTCGTCCTTTCTTTTTCCTACCGTTTTTAAGCCTTCTCAAGATATGCCACTTATAACGAATACAGAACGGGTGACTTTGCCCAATAACATTTCTCATATAACAGACTGTTATTTGAGAATGAAATATTAATATTATTACCTAGTTTTCCAAAGTTATCGAAGTAGATTAAAGATTGAAGCAACTGTTTGGTCTTCTATAATTTCAAGAAGTTTCCTCTTAAGTATCATGGGGGCAATATCATCTGATTTTTCCGTCTTTTCGTCGTTGAAAATACCTGCGGTGTGAAGAACCTTAAGGATTTCAGGACAGTCTGTGATTATTTTGAAAGTTAATTGGGTAAGTTGGGTCGAATGAAGGACTCACTGATCAAGAAGGTTAGAGCTCTAAAAAAACCTTCAATCCAAGTTACACTCTAATATGTAGCACTCTTCAAATGGATCAACTTAAAAATGCCTGAAAGTGCTAGATACACTGGACTTGTGGGACGCTGAATGTGTTATGGACATTCGAAGCTTGAAAAACTGGAACAGTTCGCTTAACTATTGAATACCATTGTAATTGAGGGGTCACAGTGAACCAAGTATGGTTTTTCTCTGAGACGGCTGATAAGTTGGAAGTAAATCCCCATAGACAGGACGAATATAGGCGTAAGTAAGTAAGTAAGTAAGTAAGTAAGTAAGTAAGTAAGTAAGTAAGTAAGTAAGTAAGTAAGTAAGTAAGTAAGTAAGTAAGTAAGTAAGTAAGTAAATAAGTAAGTAAGTAAGTAAGTGAATGAGTAATTGAGTACGTAACTGTACACTAGAACTCCGAAAATTACCTCTCGAAGCTAGTGCCTTGTGATCACATGTTGATTGTCAGTGTAGGGTTGTGAAGGCCATTAGGTTTGACTGAGATCATGAGTCCTGCATTCGGGGTCGTGGATATGAAGTGCTGAAGAGTCCTATACTAGAACGAAACGGCTGTCCAGTGCTTCTAGGTTGTCAGTGACTGTCTAACATTGATCGATTCATGATCTCAACTCTATACTGATAATTAGTTTTTTTAAGTTCGTCTAAAAGGCAAGCAATCATTAAAATGCGCTCATCACTGAGCAGATGTTTCCTCTTAATATCAGTCTATTCACGAGTGGTAACTCATAATATATTGTGTTATTCAAGCTTACACCTTCACGTTTCAAGTAAGCATGCTATCATTTAGACTACTGACTGAGTTGACTTTTATTCACTGATTCACATTCCTAACTCTAGTCAAGTTGTGATATTGTATGACCACCATAGATTGCCTTCAACGATCCTAATTTTCATATCTGTCCTGAATGATCTGTACCAATGACAACTCACATTAGAACTTCGGTGACGAGCTCTCTTTGTTTCTTTATCCTTCTTCGAGACCTGAAAAACATGCTTTTGATTGCCAACAGAATCTTATAACTGCACTCACATACACGGATTACAAAGAAGCTTCATAGTAATATGATACAAATCTCCAGTTATATCTTAATTATCAGTTGTTTTCTAACTGAAGTCAACCTGTGATGTAAACTATTTTCGAAATGGTAAACCCCTACAAACTTCTGATTCTAGTAAGATAATTCACTTTTGATATTATGTAAATCATGTGAAATCGATTACACCGGTGCTTTTTTTGATCAAGTTTATTGTTATCTAACCAGTTATATTGATTATTATTTAATCTTATGCAGTCCGATTTTCGAATTGTCACACATGTACATACGCATACACACGCTCTTAGGTATGATAGTTATAAGTGATTTTGTAGATTCTTTAAGAAAAAGAACGTCGAAACTGGTTATGACATTTTAATGAATGACAGAGGTTTCTATCAAGGTGTAAAATAACGAATGACAATACTGAATTATCATAGTTTAATTCACAAGTCGAACTAGTCTAGACCACCATCAAAAACCTGGAAACACTGGACAACCGTCTCATCCTAGTGTGAGACTCCTCAACAGTGTGCATCCGCAATCTCACATGCAGGATCCAGAACCGGGACCTTCGGTCTCGAGCGCGAACGCTTAACCTCAAGACCACTGAGTCAGCATCCAACGGTATTAATATCTAATTGGTGGAATCACACAACACTAATTTTGTAAGCCAATAACTTCACATCACCGTCTAATTAACCAACCAACGAAAACACAAAGTAAGAGCATCAATCCCAAATAACATCTGACAAATAACCAATAAAAATGCTTAATGGTAAATAAATGAAACCTTGTAGCGTGGTGTCGAGTCCCAGTTGACTATGAGCACCACCACAAAGGAACGCGTACCAGGATATCCATAAAATCCCCCGAAAGCCAAATATCAGAAGGCAGTTAATGGACGAAGTCGAGATATATTTGCTGGCGATCTCGTGGTATCGAAAGAATACCGAGATCGTACCAGGATACAAGCTTGGTTACTGAGCGTAACCGGATTCGCGTGAGGTCACAATCGAAGTAAGTATAGTGGATGTTTTTAGCACAGTTAAACAAATAGCACAATAAAACAGTTGTAACGGAAAGAGAACAGTGAGAATCCCTCTGCAGCTTCTTTGTTGAACAGTATTTTCATTTATTTGTTCCTTCTCCCTTTTGTGTATTCCAACCTTTGTTTCGATCTCGTTTAACCATGTCTTTTGTTCTTCAGTCTTCCCCGTTTGAGCCTTTATTATGTGATTTTGATTAAAGACTTATTTTTGTTACCTAATTTTCTATTGCATGTTGCCGAACCATTGACAGTAAGGTTGTGTTTGACTAAGCTCAAGGTCACGGCGTGGTTCAGTTTGTGACTGTCAACCTTCTGACTGTCTGATTGGGAGAATTGCTGCAATCTTTGCAGATAGATATTTGATCCCATCTTATTGGGAATATTTGTATTGATTCTCAGGTATCAAACCCTTTAGTATTAACTCTTTCTTCCATTGTTTAGCGCGCTACTTTGCGTTAGACAAACTTCTGACTGTATAGCACAGGCTGTACCGTTTGAGGTATTTTGTATTTTTGATGTAGAACCGTTTATATTGAGCACAGAGTTTGTGTTTTGATATAATATAATACGAGTATCTCAAAGACGCGTTGTGAGCTATACAGAGGAACTTGGTCTGGTCTAATCGAATAAATTTCGGGTTCGTCAGTCCGTTGTTCCAACCGAATATTGGCTGTTCGGTCGCTACAACAGTCACTGGTACAATTTGTTGTAATAATGATTGTTTTCATTAAACCAATCGTGTTCTGATGATAAAAGTAAGTCACTACAACCTTATAAAAGTAGGGTGTAGATTTCCTTACACAATCGCGAAACAAAATATCACAATGGATAATTCAGACTGTAAACTCATTCTTTGACACCGTCGTCCTTCCTACACACCAAACAAGACAGAAAAGCAAACTTCGCATTCTGTCACTCAGTCCGTGAATTGATTTCACTGAATGTTTCACTCAATCGAAGTGACATGACACTTTCTACCACCGATCAAATATCACAATGTCAGTAACGATTTGTTGAAGACTAGGATTCAATTGGTTGACCGACAAATAGACAACTTCACAAACGTATAAATTCTAGTCCACAACTCACTGGAACATCAGAAATCACCGAACGTACAAATGCAAAGTACATTGGTGAGTCATTCATTCGTCTAACCAACCAAAACTCTCTCTTCCTCTTTCTCTCTCACAAACAAGTGACAGTATTGACTTTCGCCTTCGTTGTGAACTATCTGGATGTGGTGCACTGTGATGGAGGTGAGCTTCACACCAACAGACACGGAGCACTCTCACTCACTCACTCACTCACTCACTCACTCACCCACTCACTCACCCACTGATTCATTCATTCATTCATTCGACTAGTCATTCACCAAACTATTCATCCAGTTATCCCTCCATTCGTCCATCCATCACTCCAATGATTCATTCATCCATTAATTCACCAATTCATTCACTCACTTACTCACTTGCTTACCTACTTACTTACTTACTTACTTACTTAATTACTTACTTACTCACTTACTTACTTACTTACTCTGTAAGTTGTTCCGACACCAGTGCAGTCGATCACAGCCAACTCACACAATCCAAACCATGTGAGTGGAAGCATCGAGCATCAGTGTATTTCGCAGCTGACAATCGTATGAACGTTCTGTCACTCACCTCATCAGAACATTCGCCTCAATACTCACGTTCCCTGTCATTATTGACAACCAAGTCAGTCAGATAGGCAGTCGGTCAGTTAGGCAGTTAGTCAGTTAGGTAGTGAGTGGTACCGATCAAGTCAGTCGTCGATTTGCACACATCTGATGGAGACGCGAACTGAATCATATTGCTGCAATTGAACTTAACTTAACTTATCTTAAACCGACAACACACTGTTTCGTTACTGTTGTCCAATGCAGATGGCGCACCCTCAGCTCCAGTCAAATCACCTGATCAGTAACCAGCTTCACCAGCCGCATCGGATTCACCTGCAGCACCAGCGGCGGCTTCAGCGAAACCAGGTCAGTCCATTCACTATTCACTATTGGTGTGCATTGAATTTTGTGTGGGAATGTTTTTCCAGTGTGCATCACTCGAATTGTGTGTTTCCGTGTTTAGACTGTGAACAGTACACATGTACTCTGATTTTACTCCACAGATTCGCCTGCCACCACCAAGTCAACCGCACGTTCGAAGTCACCGAAGAGAGCACAGAGACCAGCCTACCCAGCCAGATCACCATCACGTGTTCGTAGTAAGTCAACACTACACCAACCACTTCAATTCCTTATCTCCGTTTCTTTCAATAATCTTGACCAGTACGACACACCAGTCATTCCTCCGAACACACACACACACACGCGTGCACATGCACACATTCAATCACTCTGCAGTCAGTTTTTTATACTCAATCAATCACTCATTCTCTCACTAACTTTTACAACACCATCAATCCTCACACTCACCCGTTGAATGCCATCACACACTTGTTCCATGTCACACAATCAAACATCCACTCCACTACAAGTGCCATGTAATCTACTGAGTTTGTGATTGACCAACACCCACTGTTTCACTTGTTTTCAGGTCCTCACGCTCCAACACATCCGAGAAAATACTAACGTCCACCACGAGGTAAGTCTGCCAACAAACACCCATCACTCTCCACTCTCATATCGAACGTCTGATAACTGATTGGTGGATTCACTGCGTCGTGTGTGTGATTGAGTGAGTGAGTGGATGAGTGAGTGTGCGTGTTCATTGACTGTCACCAATCCATCCCATCACTCGTGCAGCTTGTTGTCCTATGTGGAGATGTATTTGGGGCTTATTCCTGTTAGGTCACCGTTTCCATTCTCTGTGTGTTGTGAGGAGTGCATTGGAAAGTGTCAGCTGGTCGTCCATCTCATCACTTTCAAACACTCTCATTTGGAACACTTCACCAGTCGCTCACTTATTTATTTATTTATTCATTCAGTCAGTCAGTTGGTCGATCAGTCCGTCAGTCATTAGACCGACTAACTAGTGTGTTCACTCACCCATATTTATTTATATACTTCTACTTACGGCCAGTATGTTAAATCAACTCTTCTTCAACCTTCTCATCATGTTCGTGTTCATTTCATTTACCTTTCACATGGTAGAAAATCGGTGCAGGTATGAGGTAAACACAGTCGATGTGTTCAACGACAATTCCCTCACTTTTACATATGTATCGAATGATAACGGAATAAATTGCTGAGCCTCAAACCTTGTCTTTTTTACGTTAGTTGACTTCTTTGCTTGCTTTTTCGTCTGAAGGTTGTGTTGAGTAATTAAAATAGGAAAGAGAGTGAAAAGAAAATTGCAGAACATAACGTAATATACTGACAATAATGTCACTATGGTAAAGAAAGATTTGCAACTGTTTCCTTTAGCATATATAAGTCCGGCTTTTGTCGTTTAATAGCTACGTATTAGGCGAATTTCAGAAAAACGACAACCGAATGTCGATCGTTGATAGTGAAAGACTTTTGCCTATCAACTTAACATCCTATGTCACACAGATTTTTTGCTATTGCACTGCTAAAAGCCCTAGATCCCGTTGATCTGAGACTTTTCGGGATATGTTATTGTAATCAAACGTAGGCCCTTCTTACTGTTCTACCAGATTAACTGCTCTTACAGGTACATGTAGATTTATATACGTATTTGGCGGTAACATGTGAGGGGTACTTATTGATCTTTGATTGGAGTGAAGATCATATTGTTTTTTACAAGATAATCAGCTTGGCTGCAGAATAAGTTCTGGTCAGTGTGCTTTTTAATCTTCTATTTATTGTAGCTGCAACATCATCACCTTTAAACTCAAGTTGTTTTCAAATATTTATTGATACATGAAAAAATATTATTATTTAGTGTTTCCAATCAAAAGGAAAGAAAAAAACCTTTCTAATTGTTCACTTGAGTGAGAGTAATTCATCTTAGTTGATAATGACGTATGATTAGATGAACTATCTGTAAGCGTATCGATTAAGTTAATAACAGGAGGTTTAATGATAAAATTAAGTGTAGAATTAAATGTAGAATCTCATCTAACGAGTTGTACAGGATAACGTATGCCAGTCATATGCTGTGATTTTTTCATACCACTGTTCTATAGTGTAAATCGAACATCTGTCTACCTCATAATTTTAACTAATAGGAAGTTTTGAAGGCACTGGATCGATTTGTGTAAAATGATACAAGTTTACTATAACTGTTGTTTCAGGACGGTAATATTAGCAAAACCATCAGCTACATTATATAAAAGCGTACATCGCCTAGTCGTCCGTATTTCTTAAACAGTTTTGCTCTTAGATATAGGTGACAAACATTGACAACGGATAATCATTTCAATATCCTAAGCCCAGAAACAGCAGATTTCACACAGACATTCAACGATTTGAAAATTTTATTCCATAACCAAATTTTATGAATATGTATGGTAGAATTAAAAAAAAGAAGTTAAGAGTTTATGATATTCTTATCACATATCTAGTAAAAATTGCTTTTTTTTAGAAAAAAACATAAATTCATTTCGTTAATCAGCAGAACTACAAACAATCATATTCTGTTCACTGATTTCATAAGTGGATTGAATCCATTGCATTAACTATAAGAATCTGTTAGTTATTCACAAATATATTATTTTATTATCTACGATAAACAAGGTAATTATTTTTAGAATATGTTGTCTTATAAAATTTTATTCAATGAATATTATAATAAGTTTGATATGAAGCTAACAGTGGAAATTAGGATATATATTTCGTCTTAGTATGGAACTCCTCAGTTGAATATCTTTAGTATCCAGTTGAGATTATATTGTGTCTATCTTCTTAAAATGCATATATAGAGGGAGTGCTTAGTTATCTACAATCTAGAATAGCAATAATGAGAAATTATAGCATTATTTTGTAATAATTTGTTCGGTGAGAAATGGCTTGTCGATCAGTCAATTTCAATCTATTTATTAATTGGAACCTAATTAACTTTCAAATTATACTATTGTTGGGGACGTTAGATCCTCAGAATTCACTTGGCAAAGGACCTAATTTTGTAATTTTATTTCGAAATTTTGAACTTCACTGTTTTCGCGCCAAAGGCGCTCTTGTCACCTTCATGTCGTATTTCCCACAGGGAAGTATCTTAGATGCTATTTGTCCATTGCGTCCTTTAGTATGCTATTTAGTATCTCTCCCCAAGGACGGTTTAGTACTGAATATATACGTTTTGAATTGTGTTTGTTGTTATCGCTCGTTTCTGGCTGTTTGCAGAATATACTTCCCTGTTCCAAACCTGGACTTCTCCCTCTAGTTAGCGGGGCTGGGACGCATTAAATAGCTAGCTTACTGGTCTTTGGTCGCCGAGTCTTTGTTCTCGTTCGCAGATTAAGTGAACTCGTGATAGCTTCAACCCTAGCAACTATCCATTCGACATTTAAGTGATTCTATTTATCGTTTGAGTGTATCAACGGAATAGATACAAATAGTCAGGCATTAATCAAAAGGGAATTACTTCATTTTGGCAATTTTTAAAATTATTAATTAACTCGAAATTTATCTTTTTCATATCAAATGTTTTTTTGTTTGGTTTATTTATATATCATTCATTCATTGATTATTGTTTAAAATTCAATATATAGCGAATTTTACAATAAACATCTTTTCATGTTCGACTAAACAGTATTATCGATAGACTGTATAAACCAATTTTGTAAATCGATGTAATCAAACACTGAAAAAGTTATTCTAATGAGACCATCAGTCAATCTATGTTAGACAAATATAGAAGACGTGGAAGTACTGTATGATTGTTTTGTCCTTCCATGAAACTTTTCAGAAGTGCGTATTTAATAGAAGAGCTTAGGAATAAAATCTAGCGTTCAATTAGAAGACTTACCAGTGGAGAAAACTACAATCAATAGTTCTTTGGAGCATTTAGAAGCTTATATGGAGCGTCAAGAGAAGCGGTTTGAACAGTCTCAAATCAGAATCATTAAAGCCCTCATGCAGAAATTGTGCCTGTCCTAGCAAAACCCTCCTTCTGGTGAATTACAAGTATCCCATACTGGTTCAGTCAATAATGCAATCTATGAATTTAATTTTGATGGTGTAACAGGTGTAACTTTTGATTCTTGGTTTAAGAAGTATGAAGATTTATTCTATATTGATCTTTACAGACTTGATGACGCCGCAAAAGTCAGAACACTTCTAAGAAAACTTGGAACGATGGAATATGAACGTTATAGTAACTTCATTTTCACGAAGAACCCACGAGACTTTAGTTTTGAGGAAACAATTGAAACCCTGTCTCAAATCTTTGCAGAACAGTCATCTCTATTTAATATCCGTTACCGATGCTTGAAGATAACGAAAGAATCAAAAGATGACTGAGTGAAACATGCAGGAATTGTGAGCCGAAAAATTTGAGAGGTTCAGGTTGTCTTCCGTGACAGGAAACCATTTTAAATGTCTGGTATTTGTTTGTAGCCTTCGCTCACCCGAGGATGCTGACATCCGAACGAGAATCCTAAACAGGTTTGAACGTTGCCCCAGCATGACCCTACAGGAAGTGACTGACGAATGCCAGAGGTTAGTGGATTTGAAGCATGATACCTCAATAGTAGAGAACGGTAACCGATTCCTTTACGCCAACGCAGTCGAGTGAAAAGTCTTACAAGGTTCTAGCACGTAGAATTATTGAAATGACAGTGACAAACCATCATCCCCATGCTGGTTGTGGTGAATGGCAATGTAAAAGGTTTCGTCCGTTTAAAAATCATTGCCGTACTACGTGTTCCAGAAAAGGGCACAAAGACAGTCGTCGGCAAACCCGGCCACGCAGTCAACGGAAAGTGTATTCTAAAAGATTCAAGACACAAACAGCTAAAGTAACGGTAGCTCGTAACAGAACCGTCTTCCATAACCCTAGAAAGTATGTTTTTCTCATGAGTGATGGTTAAAATGTCCGCTTACACTTAGACACAGCTTCCGATACTACACTTATAAGCAGAAGAACGTGACAGAAAATTTGGAGGCCGCGAATATATTCAACTCATCAATCAGCACATTGCGCATCCAAGGGGACGCTAAACATTACTTGTGGCACTCACTGTGAAGTCACAGTGAAATAGTTCAAGGAGAAGAGAGTAATATGTTTGACAGAACGTCCATCAGTCGAATTATTGGGGCTTGATTGGGTAGAAAGGTTGAAGTTAACAGGCCGTTTCATAAACTCAATCTGCAACAACGTCAGTACGTTGAAAGTTAAGGAGAAAAACTTGACGGAATCATTATTAAAAAGATATAAAATGGTATTTAGTGAAGGTCTTGCAGAATGTACTAAATTTTAAGCTGCTCTTACCCTTCGACAGGGATCAAAGCCAGTGTTTCGACCTAAGAGACCTGTACCATATACTACCTTCACAGTGGTTGAACATGAGCTAGAACAACTCCAAGAATTGGGTTTCGTTGGACCGATGAACTTCTCAGAATGGGCTGTACCGATAGTGGTAGTACAAAAGACTAATGGTAGCGTCCGTTTACGTGCCGATTACC